CAATCATAAACGAGCTACGCACAACGAACTGATAAATTTATGTCATATGTTAAAAAAAATCTTAAATTATAAAAAACAAGCAAAGAAGCGATTTTCAATGTGTTGACTTCTTGCGACTTTAATTTGTCTCTTCAGACATGGGGGAAAATGGCGAAGCTTATAGAAGTTTTCATCCCAATACTATTAGCACAAGTTTTGTAAAGATAGTCCTTTCGTATATACGTATTTCGCAGCACGTCGCAGTAAAACTGCCTAACAAATGCCAAATTTTAAATAAACTAAATATTTTTGTTATAGTAGCTAATATTTTAAAGATGACTTAGTATAAAGTCAAAATAAAAATAAGTATTTATCAAGCTAAATTAAAATAAAACAACGATCAATTATTTGTAATTGTAATTTATTTAAATAATAATTTTACATTTTTTTCATTTAAGATTATTGAAAAGGTGTCATTTAATTTAGCTATTTTTTCACTTTATTTAGCCCGAATGTCATCCATTTTAGGAGCAGTAAATTTTATTACCTGTTTTAGCCGGATCTATTACAATTATGTTAACATATCGAAATTTAAATACATAATTTTTTGATTCTGCCGGAAGAGGTAATCCATTTCCTTACCAACAATTATTTTGATTTTTTTGGTTATCCTCAAGTTCACATTTCATTTCTACCTGGTTTTTAATCTCTCATATTATTAGTAAAAAGACAGAAAAGAGGAAACTTTTGGTTCATTAGGGATACTTTATGCCATACTAGAAATTGGCTTATTAGACTTTGTTTTTTTGTTTGAGCTCACCATATATTTACATTAGGTATTGATACCCAGGCTTATTTCAATTTAGCTACGATAATTATTGTAGTTCCAACAGGAATTACAATTTTTAGTCGATTAGCTACTATACATGATACAAAAATTTTTTATTCTAGAGTATGTGGTCCAACAGGAGTAGTCTTAGCTAATTCATCAGTAGATATCATTTTACATGAGACTTATTATGTTGTTGCACACTTTCACTATGTTCTGTCAATAGGAGCAGTATTTGCAATTATAGCAGGTTTTATTCCCTGATATCCTTTATTTACTGGTTTAACTGTAAATTCATCTGTAGTAAAACACCTATTTATAGTAATATTTATTGGAGTAAATTTAACCATTTTTCCTTAGCACTTTTTAGTTTTAGCGGGAATTCCTCGTCGATGCTCAGATTATCCCGATGCCTACACAACTTGAAATGTAATCTCCACAATTGGTTCAACAATCTCTCTATTAGGAATTTTAATTTTCTTTTTTATTATTTCAGAAAGATTAGTTAGTCAACGAAAAGAAATCTTTCCTATTCAACTAAATTCTTCAATTGAATGACTGCAAAATAGCCCTCCGTCTGAACATAGCTATTCTGAATTACGTTAAATAACTAATTAATTCTAATATGGTAGGATAGTGCAATGAATTTAAACTTCATGTCTGCTTGAACATCACTACTAGGCCTTCAAGATAGTTCTTCCCCTCTTATAGAACAATTAATCTTTTTTCATGATCACGTATTAATAATTTTAGTAATAATTACTATATTAGTATGATATTTAATAAATTATATCATTTTTTAATAAATTTTTTTACCGTTATCTTTTACATGCCCAAACTTTTTTTTAATTATTCAATCTACCTTGAATATGAAGCAATAAATTGCAATTGGTTTCGACCTAATTTTAGGTAAATTACCCTTATTCTTTAATCGAAGCCAAATAGAAGTATATGACTGTTAATGATAAAATTGAAAAAATCTCCAATTAAAGAAGGCAAAGAAGGCAAAAACCCCTTTGCTGTAAACAGAAGCCAACATCCGTGGACACATATCGTCAACACCAGTTTAGAAGCAACAACGGATCACAACAACAATCCGTGGGTAAGAAAGGCATCGAGTCCATTCCTGTCGATATAAATCGATATAAATGGTAAGGTAAATTTAAGAACCTTGCTTTGAATATCCGCCGAAACTTTTTTAAAAAGAAAACAAAAAAAAACAACAAGAAAAGAACCGAAGAGAAATTTGGTTTTCCTTTGCAAACCGATCATAAATCCATGTATAAATAAAACGATTCCAAATTGAATACTTTCATATATTTTCGTAAAGCCATGGTCGGTGTCTAAGTCGTTGAAAACAAAACAAGAATAAAAATTAAAATCGAAACGGCTTGGCTAGAAATGTATGGCTAAGCGGCATACACCGTTGAGTCGGAGTATGGTTGGGTGTACGCGCGAGTGAAGGTAGGACGGAGTATGAGCTCATTGAAAGGTTTGATTGAACCTTTTCTTTTTTATTTGCTTCGCCCTATTTTAAGTGCAAATCTTTTTTTATTGTTTTCATTTTTTTTTAAATTTAATATATTTCTTTAGTCATGCGGCACAGCAGGCCGAATATTTTGCAAACACTCTACCGAAACCTGAGCTGTGCCCATGATAAGCTATAGAACTTCTTAAGCCCTCTATTAGACGAATATCTTGATTATAATGAAGCCTTAAATAAAGCATGTTTTAATAAATGAAAATAAGGTAAAATTCTTATTATTAACCCTAATAAAGTGATAACAATTGTTATTGAATTAAAAAGTTCATGTACAACTTCATAGCTCATATAATATTTATTTTCTCTCCCATTCTTCATAATAATGCGGACTACGTAGAATATCATATTTGATTAAGTTTCATGTAATTTCACGAATATTGCTGTAATAATTTGCTTGAAGTAACAGTTTAGAATATTCGCAGACTGAAACCATACGAACGCATTTACCAATACCAATATTACAACCGATTATAATGATATTTCAACTCCCACGCAGGCATACATGTATATATATAGACTGAGAAAATGTGCAATACATCAATAGCAACTAGAGCGTTTTGTAATCGAAAATCGCCGTGTATATGATCAAGAAGTATGATGATTCATTAGGAATATAGGGAGAAAACCTGACTTCAATGGAAATCATCTAATCCAATTTTTCAACAAATAATCTGTTGACGCCAGTATTTCTTATAATTTGCTTTATCTAAAATAAAAAGAACCAAAAAGTCTAAAAAACAATGGCAAATATAATATAAATAATATGGCGGCACACAGTTTTTGCAGTTGTAATGCCGCCAATATCAATGCAGGTGTACAATAAATATATTTATTTTACAATTAAATCTTAACTCCCTCACTCATTCACACATTCAATCATTCACACACTAGCCACCAAGGAGACATCGACGAGATTCCCAGGAAAACTATGTGAATCTCAGATGGGTCCCCTTGCTAACACATGAAATCGCAAGTAATAAAAAATGCACTTACCAGTCAATGTACTTATTTTCTTTATTAGATATATTTAAACATTTTAACACATAAAATTCGAGATATATTTAACAACTATAAACAAAATTTGAAATAAACTGAACAATTTCAATTTGATATACATATGAGTACAGGGGCGTCTTTATATTTTTATTTCGCAATTTTTTATCTAATTTTTTGTGATAGATTTTGTTTAATTTTTCAATTTTTCAATTCGAATCACTTCTTTTTACGCTTTCCAAATTTCTTTTGTTTCACAGAAAGCCGTTAGCTGGTTTTTTCCTTTACCCAGTTACGCTCACAAAAAAAAAGAAAACAAAATTTATACATTGCAGTGAAAACACTTATTAAAGGTTCTTTTGTTTATAGATTCTTTATTAATTATATAAGTTTTTATTCTTAACTTTACTTACTTTACAGGGCACAGTAGTCCCAATCAGTAATAACTCTAACAAATATCTACAATCATATGTACATACATCGAATGTTATGAAAGGTGGGTCTATCTTAAGTTCTTCTGGATGTTGCAAACAACCGCGCAAACTTAATATATCCTTATACCACAAATGATGTAGGATATAAGAAATTAACGTATATTTATAGATTTATTAAATTTATTAGTTTTATTTGCCTACACATACATTTGATATATTTCTTATTTATTTCATAAGACTTGTTTCCTA